CCCCCCCCCCCCCCCCCCCCCCTTTGCTGCCAGGCCTGTGCTCAGATTAAGGGTCTGGTTGAGAAATTTAGGGGTCCCCATGTTTTTCCCCCCAATCTTTGGGGGGTGGGGTTCCCACTTTAAATTCCTACCAGACCTAAAATGGCCAGGTATGACTGTGAATAGCCCATACAACAGCCCTTCGGTTCGGCTGAACTGAGAGGGCTCCAATGGCCGAAGTGAGCTGAAGGATTAGCCAAAGCCACAGCTATATCCTTTGGCTCCTTTGTGAATAACCCCCTAAATGTTTTTACAATAGTAAACTTACCATTCCACCACAAAGACTCAGGATAGCTGAATGTTCCTCCAAACCATTGACGTGCCCACTGTAAAAACAATGCTTGAGGTCTGATGAGTCAAGGTGGCCATAACGTGGTTTTCCAATATGGACAACACTGTAAGAGTCGGAAATAAAGTTTGCATCGATGGTAAGGTTAAAATGGAAGTGCTGTCCATAGGCAGAAAAGTAATAATATGTTTTGTTAACATGTCTCTGTGAAGATTGAAGGTCTGTGCTTCTTTTCCTTCTTCTGAAATGCTGGTTAAGTGTGAAGGCTTCTCCAAGGTCATTTACTCGAGAAGGTATGACAATTTCATATGAAGAAAGGGTTTTCACAAAATTAGCTGAAACAACAGAAACACACACAATTCACTAAAAATAATACATGGAAACTGCCTAAAAATGTAAAATATTCCTAAACTTTCCAGTTATGTTAGTCATTAGTATTTTGTTGGTTCTCTTACTCATTCAGTTTGTCAGCCGTTTACCTAATGACTATCAAAAACATGTAATGCTGAGAAATGGGAAATATCTGGATCTAGCGTTAGCTTTACTGACTGGTTCTAGACTGTTAGTGATCACTCAAAATATGATGCTAACTAATCATTTTGCTGAGTCTTAGAACCCATTCACATTTGTCTGTATACAGTACATATATACTGGGCTCATAATTTCCACTCGCCTGCTCACATTTGGCAAGTGGAAATAAAGTGAGGGCGAGTGAAAATTGGGGTCTCAAAGTACCAGCCTGCAGGCCAACTCTGGCCCGCAAACCGGTACTAAGTGGCCCGCAGCAGCTGACAAGTCAGGCACACGGTCACGCACCGCGTACCTAACTTGCGGGAGCAGCTACACGGTTTGCATCTCTGTCGGATGCACAGAGCTGCTCCTGTCACTGCCGGCAGTTCTGAGCTCCGGCCAAAAGGATGGATTAGTAAGGTCTGCACCAGACCTTACTAATCACCACTGGATCACCAGGGATCGTGCCTCCTCCCTGTAAAAATGTAAGCAGGTGAGGGAGCTGGTGGGGCGTTATTTTGTGTGGGGGGGCTTAGAACAGGGAGTGTATTATTTTATGTACGGGGGGCTTAGAACGGGGAATGTAATATTTTATGTGTGGGGGGCTTAGAACGGGGAGTGTATTATTTTAGGTGTGGGGGGGATTGGAACGGGGGAGTGTATTATTTTATGTGTGGGGGGCTTATAACAGGAGGAGTGTATCACTTTATGTGTGTGAGGTTTATAACAGGGGGAGAGTATTATTTTATGTGTGGGGAGACTTATAATGGGGGGATTGTATTATTTTTGTGTGATTGTTAGTGTGTGTGCATACACAGTATAATATTTTAAATGACTTATGATCTCCCAGAACACTGTTAAAGTTAATTTAAAAAATAATAGGTTATGGCACAACTGTCGCTCTGCTCGCATACCAAACCAAGCATAGCAGTTTTTAAGGTTAAGGAAAGCATTAGTCAGAGATGCAATCAAGGAGTCAATGGTAATTCTGAAGGAGCTGCATCAATAAAATAGGAGAAACTATTCAAGAAACAACTTTAACCCAGATTCTCCACAGAGTTGGGCTTTAGGAAAGAGTAACAAGGAGAAGGTAATTGCTGAAAAAAAACAGTACAAAACCTATTTAGATTATGCCCTAAGGCATGTGGGAGAACAAATACATTGTCAAAAAGTTTCTCTGGTCTGATGAGATAAAAACTAAACTTTCACACCTCTGCTCTTCAACCTAAGAACAGGACCTCCATGGCATGGGGTGTTAGCATCAGGTTGTGGGAAAGATTTTTATCAGACAGGACCGGAAAATAAGAAACATCACAACATAAAATATGGCCTAATGGGGTGTGAAGAAATGAAACATTTTAAAAATTGACAAAACACAGTATTTATTTTGGACAGCAGTCAGATACAAGGAGATGTTTATAGCATATTCAAATTAGGGATGCACCGATACCAATGCGGTATTGGTCTTGATGACGATACTAAATGCCGATACCGGCACTTTACATTTTTAAACGATAGTGGCTGCCTGAGGTCTCGTGCTTGCTGGGGACCTTGGCAAGCCTGCCTGTGAACCGCAGTGCCTGTTTACAGTGCCAGCCGCACATCTCCGCCTCCTCCCCAGGGGAACCACGCAGTGCTGTTTACAATGCTTCTGCTGCCTGCGAGATCCTCTGGACCCCAGGTAAGACCCCACACAGCCCACCTGAGACCCCACACAGCCCTCATGAGACCACGCACAGTCCTCCTGGGACCCTGCAGACAGCAGACCGCCACCCCAGAACAACACAGAATATGTAGCTTCATATTATTCTGCATTGCTGTATAATGAATTGTTTGGATTTGTAGTCTTCTAAAGCTGATGGTATTCTACAATGCTATATAATGCATTGCTGGGATTTTCAGTCCTCTATAGCTTGTGGTATTCTGCATTGCTATATAATGTATTGCTGGGATTTGTAGTCCCTCTACAGTTTGAAGTCAGTGACAGAACTTCCAGGGTCCGGGCCCTGGCGCTCCACCACTGTCCTAACATCTTTAGTCTGTATTGTTTTTAAAAAACTGTCGCACGACACAAAAAAAGGTATCTATAATTGGTATAGGCGAGTACTTGAGGAAAAGTACCACTGCTCGTACTTGGGTCTGGAAAAAATGGTATCGGTGCATCCCTAAACCAAACCCTATTAAATTCTAATTATCTAAAAACTGGACTTTAACCTTTTAAATTCACCCCAAGCCACTCTTGTACCTGAATGCATTTTCATGTGGTGTGATTTTAAAAATCGTACAACCAAGTTCAATTGTACCACATGTAAAATACAAAAGCAGGAAGTACCTTCACCCTGAAAATCCATACAGAAAACACATTTAAATGTACACAAAAACACTTCCAACTCTCTTTTCCAATGTGTTTAGGAACAATACATTCGGGCACAGGAAAAGCCAAGGCAAACACAAAAAGGAGATAATTTTAACTAAAAAAGGAAAAGTAAATGATCACGCCCATAGTAATAAAGTATCACGTGGAAAAAAAAGTATCACACATAAAAAGATATTTCAACTAACCTGCTCCTTACCTGAAACCTTAAATGAACCCTTAATTTATAACCCAATTATACCTTTAAAAGTTATAAAGTTTGGCTACATGAAAACAGTAATTTTTAAATATCTTACTGTTGCTTTTTCCAAAACTTGCCCAGCACTAGAACACTTCTGCATCAGCATGACATGCCACCCTCTTGGCGAGCATGGACTTTTATGCTGGGGCTGTGGGGTCATTGGAAACAAACTGTAGTGGGTCTATTTATAAAATAAATTGCAGAGCTATTTGTCCAGTGAAACTGTACATACATTTGTTACTCTTACTCGCAGATGAAATGAGAACTAGTATATTATAAATAGTCTATATTCCGTATATTCCGATAACACCGATAGTGCTGTGTTGCAAGTAGTTTGCTACGCAAGTGCTTTAAATAATAATCCTATTTATCCTGGTGCTGATGATTGCCTTTGGCAGATAGAGACAATGTTGCAAAACAGAAAAAGTAAATACATCCACTGCTCCTATGCAGGCTCCTGACATGTTCAAAATTAGACATATGCCTTGTTCTATAAACATCACATGTTTAGATATCGTAAGAATGCTTTGAAAAATACACTACTTTGTTCAATCAATTTGTATGTAAAGATTACAACTATGTGGATGATAATTACTCGAGTGAATTAAAAAGTGCATTGAGCAAGTCTGACAAATGCAGTGAATCTCACCTTTTATGGTGAAGACCAGGTTCTCAACAAATTGAAACTTTGTTTCAAGAAAAAGGTCATATTCACTAAAATCTACCCGACTTGAAAAACTATTCACTCTTTTAATTTGACAAGTTTATTCTATTAGGAATATAGTAAAGCCCATTGTTCGTCATCCGGTTTTGTGCTGACCTGCTGATATATTTCAAATCAGACTCACAACACAGATACAGAAAGTAAGACATTGTCAGAATAATTGCGCTTACATAAAGTGTTTCATATGATGACAAATGCATTACCAGAGGTTGCTTCATGTATGAGCAGTCAGTGGCTCTAGAGATGTAAGCAGCTAAAATTAGGGCTGCGGAAATTAACGATTAATTCCTCGATTAATCGTTAATTTGTTTGATCGATTACCGGCTTCCGGGTCTTACGTGAGTTCCGTCGGAGATCCGATGACGTCACAGACATCGACGTCACCGGACTCCTCCCCCCTTCCCCTTATGTGTATAGGCCAATAGGTCTTGGCTGGCGCTTGTGCGTCGGCTAACGAAGGAAAGGGGGAGGAGTCCGGTGACGTTGATGTCCGTGACGTCACAGGACTCCTCCCCCTTCCCTTAGTTAGCCGATGCACGAGCGCCAGCCAAGGCCTATTGGCTAGAGCTGCAACAGTTAATCGATTTAGTCGATTAAAATCGACGATTGAAAACGTTGGCAACGTTTTCGATCGTCGATTCGTCGGCTATCGATTGATTTGCCTGTTCGGGGCTCCACATACGGCCTGGGCCACACGTCACACGCTGCTCCAGGCCATATTGGCCTATACACATACACATACAAAAGATTACACAGAGGATCATCACCAAACACATCAATGACCAGGCAGAAAAGGCACATCTGGCTCTCGGTGAACACAATGAGGAGGGAGTTGATGGGGGCTTTACAGATTGTGATCGTTTTGAGATTAACACCATTACTATCTAAAGATGTAATAAATGACCCATCATCTCCTAAGCTGAAAATGACTTTGCTTTGATTATCTGGATGCACCTCCCCCATTGGGAACCAGACTCTTAGCCCCTTGATATCCCTCAAGTCTTTTGTCTAGACATTGTGGAAAATCTCGATCGCATAGTGCTGTATATGCGTATTGCACTGCTTGCAATAATACTTTATAGAACACTTGCATATTTCATATACATCCATATATAAAAGAAATGCAATTTATTGTAACATTTGGCAGTTTAAGTTATTTAATGAAAACAAAAATATTGTGCTGTTAGTTCACTAATCCAGCACGTTATTATTCTGAGTTGCCCCACTCAAGCGGCGGCCATATTGAGTGGGGCACGTGAGATTAATAACGTGCTGGATTAGTGTGATCCTAGTTCATTTTATTACTTTATTGCTGTGCTGTATGTGTATAGGCCAATGTAGTTGGATCTGTATGTGCGTTATAATTAATCGAAATTAATCGATTCATCGATTTAAAAAAATTTTGATTAATCGAACACGAAAATTTTAATCATTACCAGCCCTAGCTAAAATGATTTGCAAATCTTGAATTTTCCTGCCAAACAGG